CCGTGGGGAACATGGAGAAGGAGCGTTATGCCTGGAGGGGAGGATGTTAACGGAAGAAGATCCTGCCTCTGAAAAATACAGTTATTGAAGAAGTTGGGTGGATGTAGTTAAAAGAGGCTTTTTGAAAACTTTTTTTTCAGGGGGGGAGGAGGTGTTGGGACTTTCAGATTTTTAATTGCTGCATCAAAGTCACGTATAATTTCTCAGTATCCAAAAATAGCAGTGGATTTCGTCACAATAGGCTTTTAGTTGGGGGGTGATTACAGATTTACCTTTTCTCTCTCCAAAATGTTTGCTCAATCAAAAAACGTTTAATAAAGGAATTTATAAGCTGCTCTGAGATTTTTTTTACCCATTTATGCTGGAAGGCAAGCCTGTGAATCTGTCTTAGGCGTTAATATGCTTCAAGATTTGATGTGAGGAACACGTTAACAAAGAACACATAATAAATAACAAACGTGTATTTGTTTCACTCGGGAAGATACGTGTGTTTGCTGAAATACTAGTGCTGACCTGCAGAGGGGAAATCCGCTGCTTCTGTGATACAGATGTCCAGACAAGTTTTAAGCTTAAAATCTTGCTGTTTAAAACAGGCATTCTTTAATGACTACAGCAAATTATGTTGTGTCATAAGAATTGATAGCTGGATAACTGTAAAGGAAATGAATTTTTAACTGACACCTTTGGTTTTTTTTATTTAACTACAGATACTTGTTAATAAGCACAGACTTCTTCAAAGTGTTTAGGATTGCTTCGCTTTTGTGGATTTCGAGTCTATTTTTCCTTTAATGCTTTAGCAACATGATTTTAATCTACATGTATGTAGAGGGGGAATCAGTCCACTTAGAAACAACTAGGACTTGAAAAGCAAAGAATGTGGAATGAAGTGATGATTCGGATGATGTGCACACTTGCCAGTTTTGTACCTGGCTGAAGGGGGAAGTGTTGGGTGGTGTGAAGGGGAGGTTTGGTTTCAAACATCCGTGAAATAATTTGCCGTGCTTTGAATGCCCAGAGGCGCTTCCTGTGCGTTTTGGTTCTGCTCTAGGAAAAATTGCAGTGGTGCTAATCAGCTTAGTGTTATATAGAAGGTGACTTTCAAGATTAAATGTTTCCTTAATAGTCTTCAATAGGTATTGTAACAGGGATTTTGATGATGAGAAAATCCTTATACAGCATCAAAAAGCAAAGCACTTTAAATGCCATATATGTCATAAGAAGCTGTATACAGGACCTGGTTTAGCGATACATTGCATGCAGGTAAGTGTTACGTTTATGTAAGCTTTTTTAACAATATGTAAATTCGGGATTAATAGTGAATTAAAAAAGGGTAGGGGTTTGGAGGCTTCTAGAGTCTTAAAAACTGATGGGAAAAAGACAATCATGGTCTGTTTCCGGAACAGGAGTCCTGCCATGTCAGCAGGCTTATGCAGAGTATGCAGTAGAGATCTCTGTTGTCATTTTTGGGGTGTAGGAGGAGTGAAGGAATTGTATTGTCTTGGGTGTTTACAGAAGACAAGTTTATATAATCTCATTTTAGAAGCTGGTAAATAGTTAACAGTGATTAGGAAGGACATATCAAGAAAATGCTTGGCCAGAGATTGTTTCCACCAGGATGTTTATTTCCTACCTTGAAACTGGCTGAAGAACGTGTAGAAGCCAACATGAATTGTGGTCGTCACAGAATCACAGAATGGCCTAGGCTGGAAGGGACTTTAGAGATCATTTAATCCAACCTCCCTGTCATGGGCAGGGACGTCACCAGGTCAGGAGGGTTTATTGTTTTTTTTTCTTTAGGTCCATAAAGAAACAATAGATGCTGTTCCAAATGCTATTCCTGGAAGAACAGACATTGAACTGGAAATATATGGCATGGAGGGCATTCCAGAAAAAGATATGGAGGAACGGCGGAGGTTACTTGAACAGAAAACTCAGGGTAAATGTAATCTGGCTCGTTAACTGTTAGTGCTGGTGTCTGTTTCTTAGCGATGGGAAGCTGTGCGGTACAAGTCTCCTCTCTCAGAGGAGTGAGGGTTGGGTTTGATGCGTTGTCTGAGCGCAGCTCTAGGTGTGGGCCAGTCATGTGGGAGGCTGGGAGGTATTTTCTTTCTTGTACAGAAGTAGGGGCGTGCTAGTGCAGCTGTAATGATTACCAACTGAGTGTGGGGATGGCAGTTTTTGAGGGTAAGGCCAGGGGTGATACAAGCCCGATGATGCCCAAATACTTACATTTCTTTGCTGTTTAAGCATACCTTTGTTTGAACTGCTTTGGTTTGTTCTGTACAGCGTGCGGTTGACATGAAGGAAGGCCCCCTTTATGTTGAGGGTCATTACAATTCGAATCACTTCCTGCCTTTTTATTATTTGTACGTATGGGCAGGCTTACACAGGTCTTTTTCTTTGTAATTCTATGACTTTCTAAACATGCTGCTAAGATTTGCATTTTACTATTTTCATTCCACCTAGAATACCCCAGATAAAATGAATTTCATAGAATATAATGGGCTTTCAGTGTGACCATGTGCATTGTACTCTTCAGCAGAGAGCCAGAAGAAGAAACAACAGGATGATTCTGATGAATATGAAGATGACGAGTCTGCAGCTTCAACTTCATTTCAACCCCAGCAAGTTCAGCCACAGCAGGGCTACATTCCACCCATGGCGCAGCCGGGTTTGCCTCCGGTGCCAGGTGCACCAGGGATGCCTCCAGGTGAGACGGTGTTACAAGGTTGTTGCTGAAAACTGAGTAGAAACACAAATTGCTGCTTGTATACTGGAATAATCGTCTGCCCTTCCTGGCGTTGGAGGTTACGGAATAGTTCTGTGAAGTGCACGTGAGCAGTTTCTTCATTTTCTTCCCGTATTCTGTGTGTGCACACATCTTCCTGGGTGGATTAGGGTACCTGATGCGCCGAGATCAAAGGAATATGATAGTAAGAGGTTACTATGTTAAACATAAGTCTAGCAACGATACTCGTTTGTGGTGTTTTGTGACGGGATTTTGGCAACAGGGCAAAAAGGCCGCCATGTATCTAGAGAATGCTAGCGTATAATAGATGGTTTTATACATGGGCCACAGGTACCTTGAAGGAAGGATTTTGATCCATGTTGTGCGAAAACTGATCTCGTATTTTCTGTAATGATAAAGGCATGTTCTTTGGAGACTGCCTAGAAAATTTACACAGTCTCGCAGGTCTGAGAACAGTGAATCCAGGTCAGATTCACAGATAATCCTTTATATTGCGTTGTTTATAAGCAGTGTTATTTCAGAAAACATTCTTTCAGAGCTTCCCGTAAAGCATTTATCCAGTCTATATTTATTATATGAGATTTGTTAGCCAGTGTATATTGTTGAAGTTGTTTACAGTGGTTGTTTTTTTAAAGTTATCCCACCATTATTGGCAGGTGTTCCCCCTATGATGCCTGGAATGCCTCCAGTTATGCCTGGAATGCCACCTGGGTGAGTAGGAAGCCAGACTTAATATTGTGTTCATATTGTGCATTTTCAACTGTCACAGAAAAAGTAAAGCTAATTAGAAAAATGTGTGTAGAGGCCCATGAAACCTCAAGATTAACCAAAGAGCTGGATGGCTGTAAACCAACATTAAAAATATGGCTGAACTGTGAATTTATGTGTAAATGTGTAGTGCCTTTCTCCTAACGTTATTGCGTAGCACTTAGTTAACAGTTGTGTTGGTTTAAAGCCTTCTGTGAAGCGCTGTTCCTCTGTATATGGCACATACTTTGTGCGTCCGGTTATCAGTCATCAACCTCACAGGGAAAGAATACTGTACAGTTTAAATTTCTTGTTTTGGGCAAAAGTGAGATACTGGGTTTTATGCTTGTTTGTGGTTGACACCGTACCCTGTCACAATGTGTTCGGAAAATCACAGTTAGATTTTTGATTTTGTCATAAATTTTCACAGATTACATCAGCAGAGAAAATACATGCAGTCATTTTGTGGTGGAAACATGTAAGCATCTCATTAATGTAATTATAGGTACATTCATTATGCCATTTTATGTCATGTTCTTAATAAGCTTGAAATTGTCTTACTGAAAACCTCTGAATACTGCCTAAAAATTTTGGGAAAATACCTGGTTAGATTTTGTTACTGTATAGTATCCAATGTTTTTGTGCTTCATCTAAATGAATATTACAGAGCTGTATGAGAAGTGCATTTCACAAAATATTAACAAAATAGGCCTTTAGGGACTTGTAACCTGTCTCGGATCGAAGTACAGCTCCATGTGTTCCATCCCTTATGCTGTAGGACATACTGCAGGAGCTTTGCTTTTAAGTTTTAAACTTCACTGAGGTGAAAAGTTGTTCTCTTCCGAGACATAAATTTAACATTTTAAAAATCATGTCATAGTTAAACGTCTTATGGGCGCTCATCATAACTAGCCCTTCTGGGTGGAAACTGAAGGAAATTGTTGGGCTTGCTGCTGATTAGTCTTCCTTAAACTCTTCGTTATCTTTGGCTGAATGTGATGTCATCTAGTAAAAGACATAAATTAATTTGTAAAAAATGCACCGTGCTTGCATTTGGGTGACATTTTAGGGGGAGAGGTGGTGCTAAATTATGCTTTTATGTAGTTTATTTGAAAATTTTGCTTATTTAACCTGGTGATTTTTTATTTAAAAGAGATCAGTGAAGAATTAGGGCCTAGGAGGCAGCTTTGTTTTTAATGTGACACTAGTTCTAGCACCACCTCTGCAGTTTTTCAGAGAATTGGCTCTCTGGTGGCAGCAGGCAGCGAGCATCTGGCAATTCTGTTGGGGTCTCACAGCTCTCTAAACGGGTGCTGAGACTGACTTTGCCTTCTCCAACCTAAAAAGGCACTAAAAAGGCTAAAAAAGCACTGTCATGTTCCCTGACATTACTGCTGCATTGGTTGATCCTTTTGTAGCAGTGGTAGACAAGCTGAGAGTATGTTAAGACTGGGCAGCACTCTGCTTCGCAGAATGGGTGCTCACCTGTTTGTGATCGCTTTGATTTTAGAACAGCAGGGGTGACGGTGTCGTGACGTTGTCATACAGGTAGAAACTGCTTCTTACTGGGATTTTGGTGTGCACCTGGCTGCTGAGTGTCTGCTTATCTTGAGAGCTAAAGTGATAAGCGTTCCTTTGCTTTGTTTCCCTAGTCCATTTTGAGTCTCTGGAACCGTTTAAACAAGCTGGAGCTACACTTGGTTTGTTCCCTGTAAAGGAATTGTGTGTATCCATCTGTAGCTTCCCAATTTAAAAGCACTTAGTGTTGCAGACAGTTTATGTTTTATAGGGTTGCAGCCCTGTGCTGGAGGAAATTTCCTTATGTTAAGGGTTGTATGTATGGTTTAGATGGCGAACACGTGGTAGTTTGTGGTGTGGCTTAGTAGATAAGGTAAAATGAGTCATTTAGGTGTGACCTTTGTTAGGAACTACAGGTCAACTTTTTTAGCCAGCTGTCAGTAGCAAGAAAAAAACCACAAAACATCCATGAGCTAGTTTTTAATATGAAGGGAAAATATGCCATAATAAGGACTCTAATTTAAAAAAAAAATCCCACTTTTCTATCTTTAGTGTAAGGTTCTGGAATTTCAATTACAGTAAATATTCCTTTCTTACCCTGTAGCGTCTGCTCTTTTGTCAGTTTTTTGTAGATAGTTTTACGGGTTTGAGTTGTCTGCTATTCACTAGAGGAAGGAGAATATGTGAAAATAGCATGAGGTTGCTATAACCACAAATAGACTTGTGTCAGAAAGGAATAATAGCAGATGTACAGTGATTTTTAGTGTGATTGGAATTAGTTGTTTTTTTCACTTTAAAATTTTCCGAGTGTACTAAGATCAAGTTCTTGGAACTCTGTGCTGAAAGTAGTAACTGAAATAATAGGTTTCAAGAGACACCAGTTCTGGAAATAGGATAATAGTGGAAGTTAAAACTTGAGAAATTAAAGTTCAAATAAAAAGTGTTTGGGGCTTTTCTTGAACTTCTTGGTGGTGGTTTTTGGTGGTGGGTTTTTTGTTTTGTTTTGGTTTATATTTTTTTCCTTGTGGAAACTGTAGAGTCAGCTGGTTTTGAATTGCCTGGGTCGAGAGCTTTGTGAAATTATTTACCGTGGTTTTTTTATCTAATACAGGTCTGTGTCAATTGTCTTAACAATTTATCATGAGTGTTCATACCAGTGCTCATTTTGTGTTTAATAGGATGATGCCGATGGGTGGAATGATGCCTCCTGGGCCGGGAATACCACCTCTTATGCCTGGTATGCCACCAGGTAGGTCAGGGTTGTCGAACTCATACTATGGTGAGCCCTAAATTATATTTATTCATTTCCACTGAGATTTAGGATTTATGTAAAGAACATACAGACTTATATCACCAGCTTCATGTGGATTGATTGCCACAGAAGCCACTTTAGTGCACAGGTGAAGGGTTGATTTATAGCTTTTGATTATAAATAATTATTTGTGTTTGTTAGCATTGCGAAGTAAAAAATAGAATATAGTTTTATCTTCTTATTGCACTTTCTCTGGCTTTTGTGTTGCCTAGTCTGTCTTAATCCCTTTATTTAATGTCTGTAGCTGCAGCTGGAAAATCATAATGATTGAAAATGTGAGAAATGAGAAGTAATGTTGGTGATATACTCAAGTGATGAACCTGCTATATTAAAAAACTAACTGTAATTTTGGTCTCTTGCCATAGTTAGAAGAGATGTTTCTTGAGCTTGTGCAGCTCTTCAGCAGCGTTCTGTTCTCAGGGTGTTGCGCCTGACCAGACACTCTGCTGTGATCGTTTCAGAGTTGCTGGTTTGCTCTTACTTCTCACTGGTGGAGGAGCAGGAGGCGGCAAACCGCTGGGGCAGTTCCAGCCTTTTTATCTTGCACAGTAGTGTGGTGGAAGCCATGTGAGCTGTTAACTTCCTATCTCTGAACTGCTTCTAGAGCCCCACACATGGGGAGTGTGTGTATTGTGATGATAGGCTATAAAAAGCAGCCTTGCATTGCTGTTTGCTGTGCTAAAGACCCACAGCAAAGCTGAGCTGTGTTCTCAAAGGTCAGGGTTCTCATGCTGTTTATAATGGCTCCGTCTCGTTGGATTTTGGAACAGTCTTATGTACGTGCCTGGCAGCGTAGACACAACGTGTTGAAAAGGGTTGCTGCGTTAATAGCATTGATTTACTGAGAGCATAAACTTCATCATTGAAGTCATAGCAGAAAACAACTTAATTAAGTGTTGCTCTGTAGCATTTGAGGTTGCTGCCTGTGCATAAACGTTTATTGGTGACTGCTGGCATGACCATTTGCCACATTTTATTTTACTACAATCTTACAAGTGCTACTTCGGGGGAGACTTTGTTCTAAGGAACGCCGTCAACAGAATCCTCTAAAGGAATATTCTTGCTTCCTTCAGCCTGATCTGTTGCTGATTGTTTGTGATTCACAGGTATGCCACCGCCTGTTGGTCCTCGTCCTGGGATGCCTCCGATGACACAAGCACAGCCTGTTACAGCCCCAGGCATTCTGAACAGACCTCCAGCTCCTGCGGCATCGGCACCCACCCCCCAGCCTCCGGTTACTAAACCACTCTTCCCAAGTGCAGGGCAGGTAAGGTGTCTCGGAGCCTGAAATTATGTTCTTCAAACTGCCTTCATGTCAGGAGTGTCTGTTCTTTATTACCGAGGAGGCCCAAGAAATGACTGGTTAAGTTTCATGCTTGTGTTGATTCTGAAGTTTAATTCAGCGTAGTGCTTGAATGAATTCTAAAAGATTCTTTTGTTTGTCTCACAACAGCCATGAAACCAGACAGAAATTCTGTAAGCATGTGGGGAAGAAAGGAGTAGGAAAACCGCTTCTTTCTTTAATCCCTTTAGTTTGTCATTTTTAAGGGTGCTTCGGGTGGGTGAAGGGGTATGTTAGTCACAGGAATCTGATTGCATAGAACTTAACCTAAAATTTCCAAAGTGTAAATCTTGACATGACTTGTTTTTTCCTGTTTGTTCCGTAATGACCTCTCTACCGATAGATGGACTCATTTATTCTATAGTCTTGTTAAACATTGCCTGAATTAGGAGGGGGTTTTTTAGTTTAAAAAATGAGGACTAAGTTAGGGTAATAAAAATTCATTTAAATGTTTTGGGGAGGGAAGTGGGGAATTGGTAGTGGCTTGTGACCTCTACACTGTGAATGCACTTGTCGTGTATAAGTCCTAAGTTGTTACTTGTTTTCAAGTATGCTGCAGAAACCTTTGTAGTGTACTGTTAGCATTTTGGACTTCTGCAGGGAAGATACTTGTTTACAGAAACAGTCCTTAGCATAAGAAATCCTTTCATCTGGCTACCCATTTGTTTGGAGACTTTTCACTGTTTCCTTTCTTTTATGCTACAGATGGGGACACCTGTCACAAGCTCAAGTGCAGCTTCCTCCAATTCAGAAAGTCTGTCAGCATCTTCTAACGCTCTGTTTCCTAGCACAGCACAAGTACGCAGGAAGTCACAGTTAAAACCAAATTGCTTTGCAACTTAACCCTTTGGACCGTTCTGCAAAATCTAAAATTGACTAAACATCTTCAGATAATTTCTGTTGTATTCCTGATTATGTTTAGCTGGTAAAACTGCAGAGTCCTCGATTGTGAGTTGCGTATTACTAGAAATAAGCGTGTCAAAGTGCCCAATTTTTCTTGGTGTGAGAGAATGAAATGTCACATCCTGGTTCTAAAGGGTTAAAAACGCATGAAAGCAGTTAAATGCGTTTTAGTGGGCAGCGGTTAGCTTGATGCATGATCAAGGCTTTTTAGTTTATGTTTTTTAATAGGGTACATCATAATGTAGGGAATTGTGTAATTTGCATTATGTGCAAAAAAACCTGAGTAATTTGTTTTGATCGGAAAGTTCAGGAAATTGTAAATGTGCAGTGATTAGACAAAAGCTTTCTCTGATAACTAAAGCTTGCTTTGGAGATTACTGCATCTTCAGGTAAAGCTTGCTAAAGCAAAATTTGTCTAACGGTTTTAATTTAAGAAAAAAATTAGGAAAAGTGAGATACTGGAATCCATAGTGGACCTCATATCTACCTTCAGCTGATTCTTCATTCCCAAGTGAGATTAAAGATCTATAGAGAGACAAAGCACATTGTGAAAATATTGTAGTGTTTCTATAGACAGAACGCTTACAAATCCTGACACTATAGAACTTTCTTAAATACTTAATGAAAACATTTCATAAATACCTCATTTTAATGAATGCTAACACTTTGAGCTGTACTCTAAACTAATGGTTGCTAAAGTGTACTAATAATTTACTGAGAGAACAATGAATTTATACTTACAGGCTCTTAAGTGATTCAGGGAGGGCTTAGACATTTACCAAACTCAGTATTTGAGATTAAAAATGTTGGTAGTGGGGTTTTTTTTTGCTTTTTTTATTATTTGTTGTTGTTCCTTTTTTCTAGTTGTGGCTTTTGACCTGCAAATCCTAGACTTTCCTCTGTGTGTGTATGTATATCTACTGGGTTTTATTTTGTCTTGTTTTCAGTTGCTCTAGTATGCAATAAGGCTGAACTTTACTTTTGTCAAGCTTGTCATAATTGTGTATCTCACTCGAAGTTTTCAGAGGTCTAACAGACATCATTTAAGGGTTTTTTTTGTGCTTTGAGAAATAAATATTGATCTCTTTCTGTGTTTCGCAGGCTGCTGCAGCTGTTCCAGGCCCAGTTGGTACTGATTTCAAACCTTTGAATTCTACACCTGCAACAACAACAGAACCCCCAAAACCTACATTCCCTGCTTACACCCAGTCTACAGCTTCAACCACTAGCACGACAAACAGCACCGCAGCTAAACCAGCTACATCCATAACAAGTAAGCCTGCTACCCTCACAACAACCAGTGCAACCAGTAAGTTGATCCATCCAGATGAGGATATATCACTGGTAAGTTAAAATATTTTCGTTGTCTTAACGAGATATGCAATTTATACAGATATGGCTGATTAAATAGAATTTCCTCTGTGCTCTGCGTTTTGTATTTAATGATGGTGTGAGTGTGAACTGCACAGAACTGATGTAACAGGACTCTGCACTGAGAAAACTTCGGTTGCAAATTGGTGACTGGCTTATTGCAACTCTCTTGTTGCAGCCTTTTGTTGGTGATAGGAAATCATGCAACTCAATATAATTTGGACTTTATTTGTGTGTGTCTTAAGATTGAAGTGAAATAGAGATAATGTGTATAGGACAAGGCAGTTTGAAATGGTCTTTGTGCTATTAAAGCAGGAAATACGGAATTTATGTAGATGGTCTTTAACTTCAGGTGTCTTTAGATTTGTGTTTGGCTTTTTTTGCCTCCACTTGTTACGAGGAAGAGGCTCTCTTCAGCTGAGGGAGGAGGAGAATGTGTTGTGTGCAAAGTGATAAATTGGCTTGTGTTGATACAGTAACTTTGAAGGAAGGGGGGAAAGTCCCGATGTTACTGTGTAATGTTGCTACCAGCGGTCTTTGAACTTTTAAGGTAGTTGAAATATTTTTTTTTTTAATATACTTTTATTTACTTTGGTTTTGGTGAAATTTAGTCTCTCACTGTGTTATGGTTGTCTGTCCCTTGTTTTAGGAAGAGAGAAGGGCCCAGTTGCCTAAATATCAGCGTAATCTTCCTAGACCAGGACAAGCTTCCTTGGGTAATCCACCAGTTGGACCAATTGGAGGGATGATGCCACCACAGCCAGGAATTCCTCCACAGCAACAAGGAATGAGACCTCCCATGCCACCCCATGGTAATCATAAGCTTCCCACCTTTCTTTCCTTGAAAAGATCTGTTTTAGTTATAAATCTCTTTCAGACTTGAAATGGCATATACTGGCAGGGGGTGAGTGTGAAGCTTTTCACAAAATGTGGCTTCTGCCTGGTGTTTTAAAAAAAATTATTCTTTGCATCTTTTTGTTGTGTTTGTAGGTCAGTATGGTGCTCACCACCAGGGCATGCCAGGGTATCTTCCTGGAGCGATGCCTCCGTACGGTCAGGGACCTCCCATGGTGCCCCCTTACCAAAGTGGACCTCCTCGACCTCCCATGGGAATGAGACCTCCTGTAATGTCGCAAGGTGGCCGCTACTGATGCTACTACACACGCTCTAATAGGTTTGGAGATTAAACCTTTTCTCATCTTGTGCTGTTAATATAGCCGAGCTTCCGTCAATTAAAGCTTCATTGTGACTTTAAAAAAAAAAAAAAGTATCTTCCCACATGCAAGGAGCTATTGGACATTCTTATTTTACATGGGAAAAAATTATTTGGAATAATAACAGGAACTTTTCCTGATGTTGCAATTTATACTGTATGGCTTCTTTTTCATGTTTCATCTAGGTTTTTAGAAGTGAAGTATAGTAAATATGGTTCGTTAAATTGTGAAGGCGCTGGAATTACATGAACATACCACCTTAAAGGCAAGTTCTGTAACATTATGTTACTCTTTGTGAAATGATGCCTTCACAGCACTTCAAGTGCTGTTGGACTTCATGTCCCCAACATAGTTTGGTGAGGGCTGTAACTGTTCCCAACTACTTGTACATTTAAGTCTGAACTTGTAACAATATTTAATGTATTTAGAGTTCCTCCTGTTGCAGGGTTTAAGTAAACTGACCCACTAAGGTCGTGTGACTTTTCTGTACTGTTATAACCTTCATTGTAATAAAAGAAGAGAAAAATTTACATGCCTTTTTATTCGTGACCAGCTGTGGACAACTGCCTGCAAGGTTTGTACAGATGCATGCCATGGTAGCTATTGATATAATGAGCACTCGTATTGGTGCTGTTTTGGTAAAATCTGAATCCCTTGTTCAAAAATTAAGTTACTCCATAACTGCACGTCTGAGTAGACAAAGACCTGTACACTTATTAACTGACTTATCAAAAATGAGGCTGCAGGAGGCACATCTTAACTCTTGGTTGTAACTTCTCTTAATGCGTATGTTTCTTTATTTGTGCTTTCTTGTCCTCAGTAAAATTTAAATCATTTCTAGTCCTGGCACTTACTTGTAGGATGTAAAAGCGATTGCGTTAAGATGCATCCTTGTGCCATACGTGTCCAGTTAGTTCTCTCTTCAACCTGACTCTTTTTTTTAATGTGCAAATGCATATGAATTTCAGGAGCCTTTTAGATAACATTTCTAGAAGCTTAGGTGCATGTCACAGTGGGTGAGTGACTTCCAGTTGATGTTGTATTGAAGTTGACCTGCAAAAGAGAAAAGTAGCTTGACCAACTTCTCGGTGTATAAAAGAGACAGGAGAGGCAAGAGTAAGATGTTATGTGCTGTACTTTAAATGTTCAGAACTTCAGATCTCAACAGAGTCTAGAAGATGAACCATCCGTTGTGTGCTGTGATCAGATGTTGACTGAGTTTCTTGATCCATTTAATGAAACTCTGGAGTAAGAGACCTTTTTAGTAGTTCTCCTAATTACAGTTATTAAAGAGAGATCTTTCACATAGAAGTTAATGATTTATCTGTTTATAAAGAATAGCACGATAACTTAGTCAAGGCCGTAATTCTCTGAATGTCTAACATCACTGTGTTAGTGCTCTGTATTTCTGATGTGAAGGGAGATTTTGGAGGGAAGGGAAGTGAGAGCTTCCCTGGTCTCTTCACCACAAGGGTAAAAAAGGAGTGCTGAATTTTTCATTTGCAGGTCAACTTTAAATACATGTTCCAGCCTCAAGCCTTATCTGTGCAATTTGATTTATGGGGATATCTCCTCTTTTAGGATAGGTTAGAAATATTATCGGCATTTTTGTGTCAGTTTATGTTCCATAGATTATTTTTTCTTTTGATGGTGAAGTTTTTCCACGTGATACTGAGCATTTTTGATTTTTCTCTTAAAAGTCTTGGAGGTTTTTTAGCTCTACTTAAGTACTTCATGTGGCTTAATTTGGTACTGTCTCTTAATAGCCCAGAAATAACAGTACAGCTGAAATACTGACGTTGTGTCTCAGCTTCAAACTGGGGGTTGTGGAATGGCTCATAAAAGCACTAGAGCATTGCAGCTGAATGGCCTTGGTTTAACCAGTAGGGATTATCAGGCACTTTTTCTAGAGAGTTTAGCAGTTTTAAGACCATAATTCCAAGCCTCTGTTGAGAAGCAGTTCTCTCTGATCACTGGTATCTGCTGATCACCTGTCAGATGTGCAGTATTTGGCTTGCAAATGTGCTGAGTGGGCCTCAATGTCAGATCTTCCGTTAGCTCTTCATCTTGCTTTTATATACGAGTCTAACAGATAAAACTGTTTTGCCTAGGCAGTGCTTTTATACTCTGGTTTACTTCTGTTTATCTAATAAGGATAATTACAAAACAAAATGCTGGAGGTGTTTTTACAGTGTCTTATATTCATCCCTTTTGTAATACTACACATAAAATGCCTACATTATAAATTGATCTTAACTCAGATTTAAAAACTATTACGCTTTCTGCTTTTCCTGAAGATCACGCTGCTGCTGTAGGGATGCTTTGCCCTCCTGCCCCTAGTGTCCTTCTCCTTTCGGTGTCTTTCTGTAACCCATTGGTATGTTGTTTTCAGACCCCTGCTTCTCCTGGGGATAAATACTTGAAAACCTTACTGCATGTACTGTTAACTCAGCATATTCTGCAAGTGGTATTAATTGTTTCCCTCTTTTAAACAGTGAACGTCTCATTATTCCAGTAATAGTACCATTTTGTAGGTAATGCTACGTAGACTTAGAGCTTGGGCGCGTTTTAAGATTGAACTTTCCTTAGTAGCAGTGTCACGATACTCGCTCAGCTAAGTACTGCCACCTGTTACTCATACGGTACTCTAATAATCTTCAGCAGGCAGGTGAACGATTGTTCCATGATTTCTCACGTGGATACTTACTTTCCTGCTCCTGTCATTTCTGTGCTGTGAGAGCTGTGACGTGGCTACTTCTAGTTACTCCTGTGTCTCTCGTGTGTACTCCTCTGTAAGCAGGCGGGTATTTCGGTGCCTGTGTTGTCTGTTGGTCTCTGCCTTCATTTCTTTGGATACTGCTTCTTAATGTCCAGAGAGTTGGATTTATGGTGCATTTTCTCAAAAAGATGAAAACTACTTTGTAGTAACTGCTTGTAGAAAGACTAAGGCTTGGTTCACAGTACAAACTTTAATCAGCGTAGTTGTGCCAGCAGAATCCCTACTGTAACGCAGCCACGCAGACAGGTTTTTTTGCTTCCGTTAATCTCTCCTGGGAAAGAGGTTGCAGAAGCTTTTACAGTTAGGGAACAGCCTATCTCTTTTATATCTGTTGCAGGACTCCAGGCATACAGTTACGTATGCAGAAGCTTTGTTTTTCAGTTGTTGCCAAAATTTGCCGTGGCAGATCGTACAGTAAAGTTAAAACTTGGAAAGGGAGTTTGATCACTCTTTAAATTGGAACATAATGCAGATGCTGAATACAAAAAGCAGACCGCAAGAAAATGTTCAGACACAGGTGGGAAAATACATTTACTAAAATACTTAGAATTTATGGCATCTGGAACTTACTTAAAAGGTTCCAAATTGGTTTATGCAGGGTCTCTCGATACCTTACGAGAGGCTGATCTCGTATCTGCTGCTATGTAGAGCAAAAGGGATTAGATTGGCATGAAAGAACCTTGGAAAAGCCCAGGCTGGTTTTTCAGAAGTCTTGGTATGACTGTTTTGCACTGTCTTCAGAATATCTTTCTGCCTTTGGCAAATGTTGCTTTACATAAAATCTTAAAAATATAGCTGGCTTAGGTGGACTAAAAATTTACTTCAGGAACTCTTGGAGTACTCTTTTACCTCCACAGGTGAGATTTTTAGGTGCTGATAGGAAATTTGAGGCTGGGCAGTATATCTGATAATTTCAATGGATAACTACTCCTCGCTCTGTGCATGCATGGGAGAATATAAACAAGCTTCTAGAAACAAATTCAGCTGCATCTGCCTTCTCTGGTTTCAGCAATTACTTTAGCGTATTGAGCTCTTGAACAGTACTTGAATAAAACTGTGACTGACTTTGTTAAAACTTGCATAAAATTGAATGGAAAATATATAACCTGCAGTTATTTTGTAAGAATTGGAGAATTCTACGTACAAGATAAGAAGTAAAATGTCAAGATTACTTCAGTTTCATAAAGAGCAAGAAGGGCATCTTGACTCTTTATTTAAATTGAGACTGATTATCAGTCCATGATCTTGGGCTGCAATTTAAAATGGTAACTAATGACAATTAAAAATAGTAGTAAACATCTTAATAATTGTACTGGTCTAGCTTCTACGCAAATACTAAGGTGAGGGGGAACATTTGAAGTGGCTGATATAATCTTTAACTACTTTTTGTGCACTAGTGCAGTAAATACTGTCAGTTATGGGAAAGATGCCCCGAGACAACTGACGTCTGTTCCATTGATCAAGATGCAAAGCAAAACAAACTGTCCAATTCAGAAAGAGTTACCAACTGGAAAAAGTTTTGTTTGGGCCTAACAAAATAGGTGCTATAGCAGTCTTTTTCTTTTGTTTGCTTGATCACTGGAATTTTGTTAACTTTGAATGCATGTCTTTCACTTAATTGGGTCATGTTTTTTCTAAAATTTAAATTTTTCTTCTTCCTATAGCCCTGCCATAGGACAGGCTGAGGCAGAGTCTCAGTGTTGCCCTGTTCAGTCTGAGGCAAGTGGGATTTATTTTATTCATTCTGGGGGCTTTCACAGCTTTATGGCTGTTGGATATTTATGTCCCCAAACTTGCAGCAAGTTTGGTGAAGGCCCCTAAATTTATTTTAATTTAGGTTTTTTATTCTCTTTTGGTAGATGGGCTCTATATTAATATTTACCTTTTTATTATTGTTGTGTTTTTAAGAGTCTTAGGGGGAGGGACCATGTTTTAAGCTGTTTGGGTACTTTTTAACTGAAGTGTTTCCTTCAAGGCTGCTCAGGTAGTCCTTCAGCCACACTGCCCCCTCTCCCTCTTCTGCCTCGCATTTGTGCTGGTTTTGGTTTTGGTAATGTGACTTTGTGTAGTCTTTGAACTAGTGGCATGTAAAAATCAGTTACTAATGTTTCCTCTTCTGGGGAGTTGTATCTGTTGAAGTGCTTAAAATAATTCATTTTTAACTGGAAAGTGACATTTATAGTCACAGAATTGTGTAGCCTAAATTATAGGATCGTTTCTTTGGAGGAGGTTAAGTTGTTAATACCGCTGCATATGTGAGCTGCACCACAACAAATATTAATGTAGAGCCCTACGAAGGAATAAAGATTCAAGCTGGTGAAGTAGAATGGAAGAGCGAGAAATGGAAGCTGCAGATTTTTCAGTTTCAGGGACAACCTTTTCCTCAATCTCTCCAATACCCCAAACTTGACAGTATTTTGTCTAACGCAACAATACTGAAAGTCAGTGTTTTTTTGAAATGTGGAATTCTGCTGCCTATTAAAAATTTGCTTAGGTATGTGCTCATCTGAAGTTCCTTCTTTGACACAGTGACTAGTGACAAAATCTAGTCTTTGCGAAGAAGAATGAGCTTTAAGTGTTGCTGCTCACTCTTGCAGATATTTCTTGGAAGGCTTGAGGTTGCTTAAAGGCAACTTCAGCTTGTGAACAGGTTTTGTCCAAGGAGGTCGTGCAGCCTGTCAGCAGTGAAAAAGAAAATTAGGGAATGGTACAGTCAGGTTTTATGATTTTTTCATATTTTTGAAATCTGTGGTGTTTTTGATGAGTGTAGACATGTTTAATTTCTTCATGAATTTGCTAAATAATGATCCCCAGTGTAATTTGCAGTGATTGTAATTAAAGGATAGAGTTGCAATTCTGAACTTAGTTACACAAGTGGATTTCACATTCCTGTTGCACTCTGTACTTTGCCCTTTGCATTTTTCCTGTAGAAGGCCCCCCTCCCACACCGGTTAATCTGACTGGAAAACTGACACGTCCTCTGTTAACTGTTTCAAAATTATTATGGAGTGTGATGTTGCTTTTCTAATTCTTACTGGTGCTGCCCTTGGTAGCAGTGAAGATGAGAACA